TTCAGAATAAAAGGAAAGGAAGATGTACCAGACAGTGGACAAGATGGGGAGAACTGCACGTCCTTGCACTGTCACAAGGAGAGTCTCTGTAGTATTATCAGTCCTACTTGCCATTCTCCTGGTGAATGCATCCACCCTGACAAAAATAATCTGCAAACGGCAAACAAAGCCCTCTCTAATAATCTGTCCCTTTACAGGAAATAAACAATGGCCCAATTACTCAGTAGTATCTCACAGAAGTCATGCTAATTGTTTTTGCTGAAGCTCCAGCCTTCCTTATCAAACCTGCCAGGCTGAAGTAGCTGAAAGTCTATAAAACAGTAAATAATTAGCTTTGAAAATCCCCTTTTTGCATCTCCTGGTGCCTCTTTTGCCTGTAACAGGGAATCATTGAGCAGGAACTCACAGGATTTCTGAGGAGAACTTGTTTCCTCTTTGTGCCACCTTGATGTACACTTTAAAATCAACTTAACACTTCCAAAAAAATTAAGCATGTAAAAAATATTCGAGAGAGCAGGGGCTGGAGGTGCTGGGGACACCCCTCCAGCTGGGCTACTGCTACAGCAAGAGTGAGGGCTGACATGGCAAGGGAGCAGTACTCAGCCCCCCAGCACCATTCCTCTGGGCAGTCTTTTCTGTAATACCTCTGCATACTTACTCTCCTTTGCAGGAAGGTGCCAATGGCTGACATTTGGGCGAGAGGTCCTGTCTGAAGCAAGCATCGCTCTCCAATCCGTCGCAGTCAAGTCCCATGAGGGAACACCACAAGATGCTCTCTCCTTCCCGAGAAATACCTGCCTTCTCCTGCTCCCCTCTGTGGTTTAATTAAAGCATTTTAGAAATTTCTGCTCAGCAGCTTCACCTTGTAGGAACTCTGTTGGCTCCAAGATTTTGGCTTAGGAGTGTAGCCTGGGCATCAGGGCCTACCCCTCATTTATTTTTACTAGCTCAAACATGCTTTAACCCACAGAACCTCCTTAATGAAGCTGCACATTCTGAGCAAACCCAGCTCTTTCAAGACCATACTGGTACTTTATCGTTCCAATCACCTTGTTTTCTGATAGGGCCCCAGTGCCTGCCTGCAAGCATGTTTGTTTACACAAGAGATGCTGGTCCTCAGCAGATTTCTTAGTCCTGACTCAAAACAGCCACTGCAAAGGTACAGCAGCAGGAGGCAGATGGGGGTTTGTACCTGGCAAACAGTTCATACGCTTACATGCACATATGCAGCCATAGGTACCACAATCTTTCCCATCCTGCCAACATGTGTGGGTCAGTAGTGACGGGTTTATCAACATAGAGTAAAGCTGAAATATGCCTAATGAGTGACCTTCATCAGTCATTGAAACCTGGTTCACAGGTTCTCCCCACCACCACAGAGATAGGACAGCAAGTCTCTACATGAGGTCCTACTCCTTTGGGAAAGGTTTCCTTCTCTCCTAGAAGCTGATCTGTAGCTGGGGCCTCCGGCAGGAAGCCAGCAGTGCAGGGTAACGCTGATGTGTTTGGGTGTTGATACCACTCCCGCAATGGCCACTCTTCCTCACACCTCCCTCTTTGCTACCACACTATGTGGAACTGGGGAGCAGGAGACACGCTCCTCCTGTGCAGCAGCAGAGCACCCATGAACACGAAGGAAATCTGAATCCCCTGGGGCAGGAGGAAAGCCAAGGCAGCTGCAGTGCCCGTCTCTCCAAGGTTTCACCTACACTCCACAGCTCCATGTATACAAATTAAAATTAACTTATTAAAGTAAATTAAATTTGTCTGAAACCATTCTCTGGCAGAGAAAGGCCCACACCCTTACTATTGAAGTCGCAGCCTCCAAAGCAGCATGGCTTCTTCACCTGGGCTACCCACTGGGAAGGCAGCCTGGCACATGTTAATTCTCAAATCTTAGCTCAAACTCATCTGGACCATGCTCTTTGCCTTAGGCCAAAGCCAGGCTAGGAAACACTGTGCTGGTATAGATGGCTTAGCTCCGTTCCCCCAAAAAAAGCTCCCTGATGGTATTTAGTTTGACACAGAACGTTAGTCTCACCCAAATTTACCTCCCTACTGGACTTGCGATGCCTACAAAGATGAGGTCTGACTCTGAATTCAGTGGCCCTGTTAGTTCACTGTCCTTAAAAAAGAGAAAACACTTCTGTGGATGTATGTTATTTGTGGATTTCTCAGATCAACCTGGGTCTTAAAAAATCCAATTTAATCAATCAGTGTGACCAAACCTGACTTTCCTATAATACTGCACCATCTGGTGCTCTTCACATTTGGGACAAAAGAGGTTTGCAGCTGACCTATAAAGTATGTTATTAACTTACACCTTGTTTTGGTTCTCCAGAAACCAGTTTCTGGGAATGCAGACCTCCACAGCAGATCCGAGAATAGCCCATGGTGCCTGTGTTCCTCCTGGGCTCTGCTCCATTCTTTAGGCAGCTCCCCACACATGTGACTTCTTTTTTGGAAGAGGGAGTACCAAGCCAAAGATGAAGGGAATTAAGGTCACCAAAAAAGTACAAGTTGTCTCCACACAACTTTCTGTCCCATGTGCTAATTGTGCTTTGCATAGGGCTGAGACACTTTGCTGAGAAACTTCTGAGGGAACTTATTTTAATAAACAATTTTAATTTTTAATAAGGATACTAAAAAGTTTGTTAAATGCTGTGGGCAGGCAAAGTGATGGCATGAAATCTGAGGAAAAAAAATACATACACATATATACACACAAAATACCCCCTGGTACTACAGAGGGAGGAGTGATTTTCAGTAGGATTTGGGTAAAACCCTCAATTATTAAAAAAAGTACCAAATGACTAACACTGACTCACTGTCTTGGCATACTTACCTCCAGTAGGTAGGTTTCCTACTGTTATTTATAGTTGTGTTCTGGTCTGGTTATGACATGCTGTCAGTAAAGTGGTTTGAAAAGTGTTAGCCTGGGGTCCAATAGTTCTTTTGTGCTATTCAGTGTCCTATAAAACATACTTTTTAAAATTTCCTCCCATAACTCAAAATTCAGCCACCAGTTTTCCTCCTGCAGTCCTCCATAATCCCTGTAATTTGGCTTGCTAGCACTAGTGGAGTTCAATTTACAGGTTTCTTTCCCTGTTAGCTGTTAAGTCCTGTCTCTCCTCCTGGCTGCTTGGCCCAGAAAGGGCCTCTTCCTTATGCTGATTGGGAACAAGAACCCTTGTGAGACACAGATATTGTCCTGTTTTGTCTTGCAAACTCACAACCCAAGAACCAAGTCTCAGAACACTTTGTTTGGAAAGAAAAGCTTTGGTCTGCATTTATAAAAGCGGTCACGTAGTTCAGGAGCTATTTTTGTGACTAATTTTTTTAAGGGAATTAGGTGCTTACACAATTTCTAGGCTCTGTGGCCCTCATGTAACATTAAAGAGCAGCTGGTTTGGCATTACAGGATATCCTATGTTCTTAAGGAGACAATAAGGAGCAATGGTATGTTTTGCTTCATCTTGAAGAGCATAGTAAGGTATTTATATGAGAATTACTTCATTGATTAAAACAGAGATAAATATAGGAAATTATATGTTAAAGTACAATATTATACAGAGAATTTTATCTAAACAGAATACAGAGAAAGGGCATCAGAGCTGTGCCTAGATTTAGGGGAACTGGATGCTCTGACCTGCATGGTACCTGGTAAAGCATCTCCCTTTTGGCCAACATGCCCGGGTTTCCTTCCCTGGGGAACCAGGAGAGAGGGAGGGAGAACATTTAGTGCATATTTTTGTGAGTAAAAAACTAGAACTAGAAGATAGAAAGTGCTTAGGAGCTCCAGCATATATCTTGGTATGACAGGCAAATAAGGGAAAAAAACAGTGAAATGGAAAACAAGACAATTGCAAAAGGCAGATTTGGAAGAGCAGAGAAGGGTGACACCTTAAACTAATCTAAAAATCCCTGTCAATAGGTATTGTTGAGATTTAGGATCCAAAACATCACTAGATGGTTAAGCAGGTAATGGAGATGTCTGACAATTTTTAGATAGGATTGAAAAAATGCTGGAGACATAAACAACTATTCTTCGGAGCCCAGTCCCTCACTAAATGTTCAAAGGCAGAATTCAAGATTATTTTATATTTGTCCTCTAAGGAGCTTCTTAAGTCTGCTGAAGCAGCTGGCACTGGCTGCTCTAAAACCAAAATACTGCAATCCAATGCCTTGGGTTGTATTTGAGATTACAAGAACTCCTGTGAATTGACTGAACAAATCCTGACCCAATATTTAAGTTAAACAATATTCTAGATAAAAGGGCAGGAAGAACAGCCCTTTTTCTGTCAAAAAGAGTGGTGGACTACAGCATCAGGGGATATCATCTCTTTAGTTACAGATGCCAGATACAAATGTGGAAACCTTGTGTTTTTATCTGCACAAAGCCCATCTAGCCATAATCCACTGCTGAATGAAAGAAGGTCTATTTGCTCTGCCACAGTAGGTGCAAACAGGATTCATGGACTGATTGATGTAATTAAGCATCATGGTTTCAAATAGGTGATTTTCTATGTTTGGGAATCACTTTCAAGGTCATTTTGCAACTGGCAGTGTCACAGAGAGAAAGAGCTCAGTCCTATAGCAGGGAAGGCAGTATCTTTCTCTTGGCAGTAGATTAACCAAGAAAATGTTGATACAAGGCAATGACACACTGTCCTCCTAAACATGCAGATGAGTCTACATAATATTTGGATATGGAAAGTGCAGTGCTGTTATCAGGACCCTCTGGTGCCACCATTTTAGAAATTTAGGTGAATTAAGGTCATGTAGCCACGGAGACAAAAGGCCAGGGCAAAATGTATTGACAATAAAATATGTCTAGTAGATTGTGGGCAATTTCAGATGAGTCACTTGGACAATAATGGAGTAAATCCCAGTATTGTGAAGAGCAATCCCACCTACATATTTTGGAACTATTCCAGTTTGCTTAGCACTTTCCACAAGGATTTTAGCAGGGATGCCCTTTCACCATTTTGCTACATGACTCTTCTGCTTTTGTGGCTTCAGTCAGTTCTCAGACTATAAATTTTAAGTCTCAGATGTTACATTTATGCTACAGTTTGTTTCTCTGGGTTTCTCATGCAAGATTTAATAATTACAGTGATATTTAACACTGTAAAAATCTGTAAATCTTTGGGAGAAATTCAAGTCTTTACAACTTGCTGCAGAGAGTCATATTACTTCTATGGTTTATAAACTTATTTCCTCTAACTCCTTGTTCTACTGCCCAGAGGGTAAAACACTGAGTTAATTTAAAACTTTTGCTTTATTTCATGCTAACTCACATTATTTGAGAAGGTCTAGCTATACGTGTTGCTGGATGATGAGTTCTGCCATAACTTAGCTTCCTGTTGGATGTCTGACCTTATTAATCTATGTGCCTTGTTTACATTCTGTGGAGAAACGTTCTCATGTAAAGCCTTTGTAACTCAATTGTCTGTCAGATGAGATTAATTTGATCCTCAGCTTGGAAACAGAACCTCCACGTAAATTAGATCTACCTGGATACTAATGAAATTATAACAAATGTTGGTATGTAGTTTCTCTTATTTTCTTTTTAATGATAACTGGCATAGAAAAATAAGCTTTTAGGTAATTGCTTTTACTCACACTTGACTAGAGTAAGAGAAAGAGCCTTTTTTTTTTTAGTAAGTTGTTAAAAAAGCACTTTTGTGTTACAAAACTTGAGGTAGTTCTATCTCACCTTTTATTTCAATACCTGAAATGGTTTCTGTCTCCTCTCCTGTGCATTATGACAAAAGAAAGTTATAGCTGTTTAGTTGACTGTATTTCCATTCTTTGTTGAATTTAAACTCTCCTCAAAGTCTCCTTACTGAACAGCGTTGTAACAGTGCTATTCCAATAGAAGAGGTGACACAGCACTGAGCAGCTTTGGTGGAGCTCAGATAGCAAATTGTTACCTCCACCTGAAGTTCCCCTAAGCCTCCTCAGTTGCTCTGAAGCACAGAGACACTACATTTTATGATACTACATTTTCCCAGGAATCCTAACACAATCCTCTTGGTGTTGATAGCACTGAATGCAGGTAAGATCCAACACACTACAACCAGGCACTCCTCTCCTGGTTTTGCCTGGGGGCCCTGCAGTTTTCAGTAATCAGAGCAAACAACACATCAGAGGTCATCTTCATTCAGTTCATGATTTGACGAAGTTGGAGCAGAGCCTTCTAGAGTAAACCTACAGGCTTAGAGTGAGGACCTTTTTCAGCACAGTGGGCAAAAGCACCACTTACCACACCATGGATGAGTGAGGACATCACCTGCATGCAACCCCATGCTGTAAATCAGATCAGTGTTGGGCTTCTCTGGCTTTAAAGAACATCACCACCCTGCCCCACAAGTGTTCTGGTCTTCAGTGCTGTTTATAGCAAGACGCTTTAATCCAGCCACAAGTATGGTGCCCCATGGCATGGAAATCAGAAAGGAGGAACAGAGAACAAGACAGAAGTCTGTAGGCTGGTATTGCCACCAAAATTGCCACATCATCACATTGCAGGATGATTTCAGCTCTGCCAGATAGTTCCCTGAAGCACCCAAGGCAAGAGACACTCTGTGATCCACCCCTCCACAAACAGCATGGACATCTTGCTCGTATTTTCCCTGTACCCAAGGCTCTGGGGCTGGAGCATCTAACAATTCAGTGCAGGAATGCTTGTGGGGCAAGTTCAGTTTTCCTTTTGCTCCATCTGATGGTATTTTAGATTGAAAAGATTTGGAAAAGATTTTCCTTCTAACCATATTGAACAGTCTGGGGTGAGGGAAGGGTGGAGAAAATGTAAGAAACAAACAGAAATTTTTTTCATAGGATTTCTTACTTTCATCCTACTTTAAAGTCTCCCTAATAAATAATTCTTGCATCCACACAGTGCCTGGGTATTTCAAAAGGACAAGCTGAATTTTTTCCTTATACAGTAGAAACTGAACTCCCTTTTTTAATATACTTGATCAATGCATGCTGCTATCTTACCATATGCATCAACCAGATACTCTCCAAGGTATATATGTCAGAAACAGGAAAGAGTAAAGTCACACAACCAGCCTGGGTTTGTGCCTCACTCTGAAGCACATGTTGAAAGTATTACTGTAAGACAGACAATCCTGGAAAGTAAAGCTGCATCCTAAGGGTACATGGCAACAGACTCATTTTATATCAGCATAAGAGTTTGAACGAATCCAGGCTGAAGTGTTCAAAGGTTTGCTAGATCAGAGTAATCTATCAGGTGAACAAGGCCAAGGCATTTCCATTTATGCAGTTAACCCCATCCTGGAGGAAAGAGATTAACATACTACCTGGCTTCCTTGCACTTAAATAATCCCGAAAGACCTCTTTCACCTTGTTTGGTGAGGGGCTAACACATGAAGACATATACTCACACATCTGGCTACAGAGTGGGACGCCCTTAATTACTCTGCTTCTCCACCCTCCCCTATGCAGAAGAGTGTGCACAATGCCAGCCCAGGGACCCACAAACTCCATGTGTCACTGTATCTATCTTGTTTAGGAGATTGAAAAGCTGACAGCAGATAAAGCAGATACTCCAGACATTCAACAATTTCCTGTTCCACATGAAAAGTCAGCTTCCAGGTGTTGACTCCAGACTGCTTTTCCTACATAGCACTTGCCAACTGGGCTCCTGCTAGCAGGTACCTGTTGGGATGGCAACTTTTTTTTTTGTCCACTGCCATAGGCAGAGGACTTATAGGAGCACCAACCTTTTCAAACCAGGCTTAAAAATAGCTTGTGCGGTCAGAACGGAGCAAAACTTACAGGAGTTAAGGATTTGGCTCCAGTATCTTCATCCACTCCCTGTAATGATCAATTTCTCCAACCAAATTACTCTTACACAAAATAAAAAGCTAGGATATAAGGTCTACAGAGAGTAAGTAGACCAAGGTATCAGTGCTATTTATAAGGCTGATATCTCGGAAGGAAAAAAGCAGCTCACAAAACTATTCTGTCAGAAACATGCATATCTTGTTTTCTCCCAGAAGGGTAACTTTCAGTACAAACCTCTACAGTTCAGATTTGGACACTCAGGGTCTCATTTGTGATAGCACCTCAAGCTCCAGATAAGCTCCTGAAAGTTCTGCTACACTCCACTTCTTTTTTTCTAATCATTTTCGCAATCTTGAAATTACAGGTCAGTTGACTGCTGCCAGACTCACCTTGTGTTATTTCTGAAAGCTTTTCTTTGTAACAAATCACCAGTGAATAGCAACCACTGCCTCCTTGAAGATAGGATGATTACAAACTTCTGCTACTCTCACGGCTGAGAGAACAACTAACCTTTATTCACTTCATAGATCCTGACAATTACTGGTGCAGTTACACTGGAAAGTTCGTCAGAGGTCTTAATTAGGCTTCCTACAGCTGTGCATCCTCATCTCCGTGACAGCCATCTGCCCACAGCTCTGCCACCCCAGGCCCTGTGAACTGATGAGTTTTCATAAGCAAATTAATTCCTGAGCAAGAAATCTCCAGGTGAAGGTGCTTCCAGGAAAGCAGCACTGGGGACATTCTTCTCTACTGCAGAGCTGAGTCACTTGCCCCAACATGTCAGTGGAGGAGCTGTCTGACTGGAAACTCCCACTCCTTGATGAGATCTAAGGATAATACTCCACCTACTTCGGAAGTAAAATTTCTCTGTAGTTCTGCATGGCTCTCTGTATACATAAAACCCCTTTCTTGTAGCCAATACCTTTCTGTTCAAAATTTCTATACCTACCATAACAACATTCTACAATCAGTTATGCAACCATAACAAAACCCATGCCTCCTTCCACTGCCATTTTTATAATCCCAAAGGCTGTCAGACTGTGGGAAGCACAAGACATCACACAGGTCTCTGATCAATCCCAGGCTGATCAGGGCAGTGGGCCTGACAGCTACCCTTCACTCAGGCTAAATGTAACAGCGATTAAGTTCCTTTACAGAGGAAGATGGTTGGACACAGCAGGAGTCACTGCCCAAGTACACCAGGTGGGACATGAATTTGCAATGGACTGCTCAGAGACAACTGGTTGAGCTACAGGAGCCTTTGTGAAAGAATCGGCAGGCCAGCAGACAGAGTAAGCAGCTCCAGTCTTGATCAGGAAGGAAGCAGAGGCTCTTTGAAACATCAGTTTAGCTAAAAATGGAAAGTTGGGCGTGGTCACTAGGAAAAGTACTAATTTTTGTGTGTTCCTGCTACATTCAGAGATACTGCACCAAAGATGTATGGATTTATCAATGGGTTTATTCTCCTCCTAGAAGAACCTGGGTAACTGTCTGGGCCAGGAGGAAGCACTGTGTGACTGCAAGACACATACGGTGAAACACTGCAAATGTTAGTAGAGAAAAACAGTCCTTTCCCGACGTATTATCGGGCCTCAAAACAATAGCATGAACTCCTCTACAGATACTAAACAGCCTGTAAAATCAACAAAAGTTATTTTCCTAAAATATAGACTGCAGTTGAAAGGTAAATAACTGACTTAATGAAGAAGTTAGTGAAGATTCTACAGATTATTTGGGAAGTGAGGATAAAATCATACTTGTACCTCCTGATCGTAACATTTTGATCAAAGTAGACATCTTGTCAAAACAAATATTTTGTTTACTCCTTTAGTTTTTCTTAGAGAAAATATCCTTTAAAGCCAGTTGATCTACACTGTGCCTAAGGGGCTGTTTGGCAAAGGACATGAATGGGAGGAGATGCAGCCTCTTCCAAGCAAGGCATGGGGGAACACTGCTTAAAAGCAGAGGAGTTACTTATCTTGATACAGTTACTAGAAGTATGTGCCTAATTTGGGAATTCAGTTAATAAAGATGAAAGATAATAGTTCACACCTCATAAAAATTTATTACAACAGGTTTGGGGGGGGAGGAGGGATTGTTTTGGGTTTTTTTCTGTTTATCCTCTATTAATTACCTTGCTTGTATCTGCTTGTGGATGGCTTTCTGTTGGGTTACTCGCCTTGCCAGTGCTGCAT